CCCCCCCATGATGGCTTAGAATTGTTTGAGAAACTCCAACTATTTCTGATTGAATGGAAACTTGATAGTAAGCTTTTCAGCATCACTTTAGATAATGCATCTGCAAATACTGTTTCTGTTGATTTTCTCCGAAACCATTTGAATTTGAAAAATGGTTTTTTATGCAATGGTGAATTTTTTCATATGAGATGTTGTGCAGATATTGTGAATCTTATTGTTTAGGAAGGTTTGAAAGAAATTGATTCATGTGTTCTGAAGGTGCGGGAGAGCATTAAATATGTAAAAGATTCTCAATTAAGAAAGCAGAAGTTTCTTGAGTGCATGAGGCAAAATTTTCTTGAAAGTAACGGAGGCCTTACACAAGTCGTGCAAACTAGATGGAACACTACAGGAAAAATAGCTATTACCGTGTCATAATCCTGTGCAAACTAGATGGAACACTAGTAGTCGAATTATACTTTTGTTATGTTGGATAGGGCAATTTATTTCAGACGTGCTTTTATGCATTTGGAATTGGGTGACTCCAATTATAAATGTTGTCCTTCAGCATCTGAGTGGGAAAAATGTGTGAATATATACAAGTTTTTAGCACAATTTTATGAAATCACTTGTCTCTTCTCTGGATCTAAGTATCCCACTGCAAATCTATATTTTCCTTGTGTCTCTACTGCATATGCCACATTGAAGAATGAAATGTCTTCTGGATTGGAGTATATAAGAAGAATGATAGTTGGTATGCTTGCGAAATTTGAAAAGTACTGGTCAGACTATAGTGTACTCTTAGCAATAGCTGTCATCCTTGACCCTAGATATAAATTTAACTTTGTTGAATGGTGTTACAAGAAATTGTATACGGGTACTTACATAATTGAGCTTGAAAAAGTGAAGGAGAAGTTGGAATCCCTATTTGCAAACTACTCAAGACCAATTGAGGAAACCTCAACTTCTGAAACTCAAACATCCCAATCTTTACAAAACACTCCTTCAACTACTCAATCAACAATAATGATTAAGTCAAAATTTCTTCAGGTTCTAGTGTTCTACTTAACTACTTTGCCAATTTGCATCTTACAATACATGTTTCTCTCTTTCCATTGTGAAATATATGATCATTTGCACAGGAT